AGGCTGCGGCCGCCGCCACCACCACCGCGGCCGCCGCCATCCCTTTCCCGCTGGGAGTAGAGCCCGCGCTGCCGCCGACTGACTGCCGGCCTTTGCTTGTAACCCGGTTGCAGGCGGTGCGGAGGGCCGAGGCTCCATGTTGGGAAGCGGCGCCGTTCGCTGTGGTTGAGCGGGAATCGGGGCGCTGTGGGCTGAACCGGCGGGGGGCCGGGCCCGGAGCGAAGATGGAGGCCCCGCTGCGGCCTGCCGCGGACATCCTGAGGCGGAACCCGCAGCAGGACTACGAGCTGGTGCAGAGGGTCGGCAGCGGCACTTACGGCGACGTGTACAAGGTGAGGCGGGCCGGGGTGGGGACCCGAGCGGGACCGGGCTTGGTGGGGTTGTTCCATCTTGGAGGAAGCGGGCCCGGGCGACCGACTCCCGGTGACTCGGTGTCAAGCACCCTCGGCTCCCGGAGAGCAGAACTAAACACAGTGTTGCAGACCATCGTGGTACGTGTGTGTGTGTGTGTGTGTGTGTGTGTGTGTGTGTGTGTGTGTGTGTGTGTGTGTGTGTGTGTGTGTCTTGCATGGAAAAATGCCTCGTGGAAGGCAACCCAGAAGAAAGCAGCAGCTTGACGGACATTTGCATTACAAGAAAAATCAATCTCTCCGTCGTGTTCGCATGGGGGGAGTTGGAGTGTTCAAAACGAGCCCCAGGAAACGGAGTCGCTTCACTTTATTGAATCAAACTTCAACGTTGTGTGCGGACATCATTGCCCTTAGGAAGATGCGTTGCCCGGCACGACTTGTTTCGTTTGTGTCTGGTTGATGATTAGAAATATAGAAGACCAGATTGCGAGGGTTTTTTCCCTTCTTAAGCCATTTCCCTCTGAGATTTATGACGTCCTGCGTACGGGTGTGGATAAGAGCAGCTTCCTTTTTTTTTTTTTTTTTCCTTTTTGAGATTGAGTTTCTGTGTAAGTAAGTGATGAAGATCAGTTAGTTGTAATTTAGGACTCAAGAAAACATTGTAGAAAAGCAAGCTGATGTCCTAAATCAGCTTGAGTTTTTGAGGGGGTCAAGAAAAAAAGATGATGGCTTGAGGTTGCCCTGATGCCTTTTGTTCTTTATTCCAAAAGGGAACATTAATGCAACTCCCATGAGTGGTAGCCGAGGGGAGATTTCTTGGCTTTTGTTGTAAAAGCTTTCTGTTTTGGATCTTTAGAAATCGTCTTGTGTCAAATGAGTAATTAACCCGTAAACTCGGGTTGCTTGTAGTTTGGCACAGGTGGTAATATGAAAAGAGAACATCCTTTCTTCCACTTAATTTGCTTTTGTTTAATTTCCTTCCTATTAAATATAGTAACTATTCAAGTTATTAGGACAGCTTGAGCACTGTTCGATTTTGAGTGAACTCTAACAGATAGGCTTTTTATTCCTTGAATTTTACACTAGGCACATTTGTTGTAGATGCTGGGATGTAGACTTGTGAGTAAGGGCTTAGCTTTTACTGTTGAACTCAAAATGCATAATTATAAGAGTCTTATTCTTTATGTAAATCAGAAGTAGTTAGGTCTTCATTGTTTAATCATGGATTAGCCATTTTGTGGAATGCTTCTCAAAAAAATTAAAATTCCTGTTTGCCTTCTCAGTCCCATTTTTAGTCATCTTTGTCTTATGATTCATTATGTATTCCACCACTCTAGTTCCATTCATGTAAATTATACAGTGGTCTAAATTCCAGGTCTTGCTAATTTTGTTTTTTCTCCCGCACTACAGGACAGTTTAAAGAGAGGTTTTTTTTTCCCCCCTTCTAGAAAGATCCCAGTATCTCCACCTCTTTTCTTTAGATATGACAAAGCAATTATCTAAGTGGGATTTTTTTTGTTGCCAAGGAAAGAAGTGCCTCCCTACTTTGTATACCTCTTCAGCAGACTAGGTTGGGGATTTAGCTCAATGAAAGAGCACTTGCCTAGCAGTTGTAAGGCCCTGAGTTTGGGCCTCAGCTTTAAAATAATAAAAAATAAAAAACTAAATTCTTCTCACACCCACTTTTACCCCCTTCCAAAACTCCCTACCTTTGGGATCATGCACACCTACTTATGTGTATAATCATTGTACTCTGCTTCCTAAGTACATTTAAGACATTCAGGCTTCATAGTCTTTTGGTTTCTTTTGTACTAATTATTTGGGACCACCTCCCCCTCTTAATTCCACCTGTTGCTATCATTTCTTTGAAAGTCTTATTCAAATTCTCCAGCAAATCGTAGCCCCTCACTCTTATCCCATACCCTGACAAGCGTGCTATTCATTGAACATAGTAAGCAGCTTCCCACTTTGAAGCCTTTGTTCTTGCTGTTTCCTGTACTCAGAACCTTTTCCCAAACAGCAGTATGTCTTGTTTTCTTCCTCCTCTTACACCTTTCCATCACTTTCCCCTACTTTTTTCCTTTGTATTTATTGCCATCTAACATAATGTTTTACTTATTCTTCCTTAGTTAGATTAACATAATGTTTTACTTATTTATCTTGGTCCATTTACTGTACCTCATGGGGACAGGGATTTTTGTCTTTGCTCACTGCTCTATCTCTAACAGCACCTAGAATTATACCTGGCATAAAGTAAGTGCTTTCTAAAAAGTTTTGACTGTGAGCAATTCAGTTCTGTGGGCATCAACTTTTGACTTCACAGCAGTTAAATTAACATTTAATACTTTATTCCTGTGATGCCTTTTGTGATACCTTGCAAATATAGTGGTTTGTCTGTGTGTAAGTTTTTCTTTCCTTCTTTTGTTTTTTTGGCTGTGGAACTAGGATTTGAAGCTCAGGGCTCTCCGCTTGCCACTTGAGCCATACTAACAGCCCTTTTTGCTTTAATCTTCAGGTAGAATCTTGAACGTTTTTCCTAGGCTAGCCTCAAACTTTGATATTCCCACCTATGCCTACTGAATAGCTAAAATTACAAGTGCTCACTACCACACCTGGCTTTGTGAGATGATGTGAGGGAGGCCTTGGCTGGCCTCAAACTGTGATCCTCCCGATCTCCAGTTCCTGAGTAACTAAGATTACAGGCATAAGCCACTGTACCCAGCTACATATGTATTTTTTATTATAAATTTCAATAATTTGCACTCCTTTGGAAAAAATTTCTGAAAACCTATAGCATTTTCATTATCAATCTAGGTCTTCTGGAATTTTGTCAATTTATACTTACTCCTTAATGTGCCTGAAATCATAAAACTTTCAGACTGTGCTGAATTTTTTAAGGTCTAGACAATTGAAGTAATTGTATGAGTGTATGATCCTAATAAGCTGGAAATCCTAGGAAGTTTTAAAGGTATTTTTAATCCACAATATAAACCTAGTGCTATAATTGCAGTGAAGAATAATGAGATTATACTACATATCATTGAGGTTTTTTCTTTTAACACCTGATATATATTACAAAGCAAGACGGTAGTCTTCAGATTCTTGTGAATTTCTATTATACTTGTAAAAACTAAAGCTCCTCTCCAAAGTTCCTGTCTTCCCTGAGAGTCCCCAGGAAAGGTAAATTCAATCTTAACGTGACTATTCCTTGGTTGAAAAAAGAGAAGTATGAGAATTCTTGTAGGAGAAAAGACTAAACCATCTAGGGCAGAGCAGAAATAGCAAAGGGAAAGAAGCATAAAAGGGAAAAGGAGTAGTAGATGATGGATAAATGACTAAATTTCATCGGAGCAAATTTTATTTATAATTAATGTAAAATTTAAAATCTGCTAACAAGAAGGGAAAACTCTGTCTCCAGCATCATAATAATAGTTCATAATCAATAGCATAAGACATTTGGGCAACCTTTATCCATTTTTATATCAGAAGTTATTTCCAGCCTAAATTGTAGAGAAGTTCTAAGAATTTTTTTTAACTGTTTATGGCAGTGGACAACCTGGTATATGTTTTTAAACTTTTACTGCTTTTTCTGATTGATTGTGCAAGCATGACATGCTTCATTCCAGGAGGACAAGAATGTCTCTTGTGCAGCACTGTATTACAGCAACCAATAATTGCTTAAAAAGTATATGTTGAATGACATTACTGGTAGAAAATTGCCCAGAAATCCTTAAGAATTTGATATATTGTATTTCAGGCTGTTCTTCTGTTTCAAATCCAATGTTTCCAAAATGGCTCTCATGTTTAATTTATTAAAGGTAATTATGAGATAGGACCTTTTCTGCTTGAATGGAATGGCCATTTTTTTCTAGACATTCAATTCTTTCTAAAAATTCTATTTTTAAAGGTTTCAGTGAATGAATCTTTACTTAATTTACTTGTTTAATTTGACAAATCTAAGTGTCAAATATTTGTTATTTCCAATTTTAAAGATTTTTTTGTTATTATAAAATGGCAGTTTGTGTAGAAATCTTTGTCATAGATTTTTGGCGTAGATGCTAAGTGAGCTGGGTGGGCTGTAATGAATCCTTCCTTTATATGTGTCCTCCTTTCTCTCTCCCAGTCCAACAGTCACAATTCTGGAATGGCTTTAGGATCCCTTTGTAAAGTAACAAAGCTGAATACAGCACAACACATCTGTAACACCATTCATTTAAGAAATATTTATTGAGTGCTGGGTATGGAGTCACAGTCATGAGAAAGAGAAAGTATACTATCAACAAGAACATATAATTTAGTTGGGAGATAAACCATGTAAACAATCATAATTTGGGAAGTGCTATAGTAAAAGAAATGGTCAGCCTATCTTTATTAGGGATAAGGGAAGGAAGAAGAAAAGAGTAGAGCAGAAAGATTAGTAGAGGAGAAGGGGGTTAAGTAGATTATTAAAAATGCAAGTTGGCTGAGTTCAAATTCCAGTATTGCCAAAGAAAAAATGTGAGTTGGTTACTGGGTGGACAAGATGGAAAAAAGTATTCCAGACTGTGAGTAGTGTGTGTGAAAGCCCCTGGAGGCTAGAGAGGCTATGATGAGTTCTGAGGGATATTTATCTGCATTCCAGGATACATGTGACCGAGCCTGGTGGGGATGTCATGCATAGAGAACATAGATGAGATTTTCTGACAGGAAAGGACCAGATAATGGACTTTGTATCTTCCATTAAGGAATATGGACTTTTTTTGTGTGTGTAGATTGAAGAAACACTTGAGGAAAGTTTGCTTTGAATAGAGAATGGACAAAGTGACTAGAAAATTGAAGACAGTTACTGGATAATCTAGAGAAGAGTTTATGTAAACCTCAGTTTTGTCAGTAGTAAAGGAGATAAAAGAAGGCATGGGTTTCAAGCATATTTAGAAAATAGTAACACCTGGTTATTTGTGGGAGATAGACAGGTAGTGATGTTATTTAGAATTTCTGGCTTA